CCAGTCACAAGACCACTTCTAATTTGTGGTACACCCACTGTCTTTCCCTAGACACTTGTGTTGTCTTCTGAGGGTGATAACCAAGGGGGGTTACTGTATGAATTCACATATACACTTATTTAATCATGTCACATTTGATTTTAAAATCTTTGTAATAAATTTGCTCACATAAATTAAAAAAATCCGTTTACTTTTGCCAAAAAAAAAAAAAAAAAATAGACAGTACTCCCGTCGATACTGAAGTATAACCTACTAACTAGAAAAAACACACTTGGCTTTTATTTTTTCCTCTTGAGGCGAGCACATTCCGTTGTGCACTAACGAGGCACCATGAGTATTGCTACTATATGTTGATTAAGGTAAGCAGACTCAACTCCACTACTTGGAGTGAGGATTACATCTCAGGTTGTTGCTGTTAACATTATTACCACCATGTCTCTAGTGAAGCATGGCATATGTGTAGTTCGCTGCCAAAAAATTAAATAAAAATTCTGTCTTCAGTTTACTGCTAATGCTGTCTAATTTCATTTACGTAATGACACGATTGAAAACAAATCACGCAACGGGTGGGGATCGAACCCATAGCAGAGGAGTTTTAGGACTCCCCTGCCATGGATTCGATTCATTTACATATTTAAAATTAATTATTAGCCAATTTACACAAGAAAAACATAACAGTAAGCCATGCTTATTTTAAAACCATGTAAGAACTCTGATGAACACACAAAGCAGGGTATATCTTCAGTATAACAACGTTAGACTGAGGGAAAACTTCAAGATTAGAGGGGATATAATTTTCCCTCGAACCAGTCGCTATTTTGTGTCTATTCATGTAGGTGTCGGCTTGAAGCTTCTACCATTGTAACAACACTCAAGGAAGTTTTCAGTGCCGTTCTGTTTTAGCGTATAACTATTGACGATGCCTCCCTCACCCCAACACCAGCTTGAAGTTTGCAGTATGAGGAAATATAACCTTGTTATAGCAGATTTTTTCACGCATTGTTGCATAATATAGGAAACTAATGTTCAATAAATATCAGTTTTACGTATATCAGCTACCTACTTTCAACCTTATGATGGTCCTGGATGGGGCAAACGTCGTCTGAAATTTCCTGTGCTAATTGTGGGTTAATTATGAACTGTTCCAGCAAGTTTATTTTGATCCTTTTACTTGTATTCACTTTTTATGTTGCAACTTTCGTGCATCAGCTTAAAACTTATATAAATTGAACATTAAAATGGTACAAAATACCGACAGGTTGTTAGGTAAGACACATATGCAACAGTTAGGTATCTATATTTCGAAACGTTTCGCCTACACAGTAGGCTTCTTCAGTCGAGTACAGGAAAGTTGATAGAAGCAGAAGGTACTTGAAGACGATGTAATCAGTCCATCACCCTTAAAGTTTTGAGGTGGTCAGTCCCTCAGTCTGGAGAAGAGCATTGTTCCATAGTATGAAACAATATGGAGATGAAGTGACAGGATGGAGCCTTATATAAATTGCGGGTTGCGTATAAATGCATATCTTCGTGTTATTCGTCTCATGTAGACCACTGGTCCCGGTACCAGTGGATTTTAAAACATTGTTATGGTCGCAACTGTTATGTAGCATAGTTGAAAGACGAAATCAACACCAATATAAAAAAAATTGCTTCTCCCTGAGTGTTTTCGGCCTGGCAGACGTCTAGTTCACTTACAAGTGTGCTGTGCTCAACCTTTGACTTTTCCCACTTTTCTAAAGTGCACCTCTGTGCCACTGTCTCACGTTCATCTCTGTGCCACTCAGGTGCACCTCTGTACCATTCTATCATTTGCATATCTTTCAACTTTCATAACTAAATCTGTATACATAAACATGTATAATCGCGTCACGTGTTTAACCGTTGTGGGATCTGATAGTGAGGTGCTGGCCGGACCCCTTATATAGCTTCCTTGGATGCTTCACTTTCATAGTTCCTTGATAATGTGAGTAGTCACGAAAGCGCTTGGAATTTCTCTATTCTTTCAGAGTGGTTGTTTTGCATATTTTGAAATCACCTGTTTACTGTGATCTTATTGCAATATATAACTATGTTAAACATTACTGTTATATGAATGTGTAATACCTCTGGCCACCTGTTATCACCTCTGGTTATCACCCATCACTTCTGGTCAACATTTATTACCTCTAGTCACTATAACTTCAGTGGCCATCACTTATCACCTGTTAACTACGATCATCACCTATGACTACCGGACATCACCTGTCAACTCTGGTCACCACCTGTCCCTTCATGCCATCACATACCACCACATGCAATAAGATCACAGTAAATAGGTGATATCTTGATATGCAAGATAACCATTGTGAAAAAAGAGTGATATTCCAAGCGCTTTTATGATTTTTTCACATCAGGGAATATTAAAAATAACAGAACAGAAGATTTATATATTAAATTGATTTATAATGAAAAGAATTTATGAGGATTTTAAACTCTGCCTGATATGTCACTCTTAAAAACTTTACTTAAAATGTGAGGTCATAGGTGAGGTCATATCTCAGCTTTATAAGCCTTATGTTGTCGTGTTATCTTTACTATTACTTGATAATGTGAGAAATAACGAAAGTGCTTGGAATTTCACTCTGTTTTTTTACTGTGGTTATTTTGAAAATTACCACATAGCAGCATCACTATCACACATCTCTACACCCGTCAGTTCAGTAACATCACTATTATACAACTGTACACACGTCAGTTCAGTAACATCACTGTCACACATCTCTACACACGTCAGTTCAGTAACATCACTATCACACAACTCTACACACGTCAGTTCAGTAACATCACTGTCACACAACTCTACACACGTCAGTTCAGTAACATCACTGTCACACAACTCTACACACGTCAGTTCAGTAACATCAATATCACACAACTCTACACACGTCAGTTCAGTAACATCACTGTCACACAACTCTACACACGTCAGTTCAGTAACATCACTGTCACACATCTCTACACACGTCAGTTCAGTAACATCACTATCACACAACTCTACACACGTCAGTTCAGTAACATCACTGTCACACAACTCTACACACGTCAGTTCAGTAACATCACTGTCACACAACTCTACACACGTCAGTTCAGTAACATCACTATCACACAACTCTACACACGTCAGTTCAGTAACATCACTATTATACAACTCTACACACGTCAGTTCAGTAACATCACTATCACACAACTCTACACACGTCAGTTCAGTAACATCACTATTATACAACTCTACACACGTCAGTTCAGTAACATCACTGTCACACAACTCTACACACGTCAGTTCAGTAACATCACTGTCACACAACTCTACACACGTCAGTTCAGTAACATCACTTTCACACATCTACACACGTCAGTTCAGATAACATCACTATTATACAACTCTACACACTCGTTCAGTAACTCACTGTTATACAACTCTACACACGTCAATTCAGTAACATCACTATTACACAACTCTACACACGTCAGTTCAGTAACATCACTATTACACAACTCTACACACGTCAGTTCAGCAACATCACTATCACACAACTCTACACACGTTGCTGAACTGACGTGTGTAGAGTTGTGTGATAGTGATGTTGCTGAACTGACATCACTATCACACAACTCTACACACGTCAGTTCAGTAACATCACTATTATACAACTGTACACACGTCAGTTCAGTAACATCACTATCACACAACTCTACACACGTCAGTTCAGTAACATCACTATTACACAACTCTACACACGTCAATTCAGTAACATCACTATTACACAACTCTACACACTTTAGTTAAACAACATCACAATCACACAAATCTAGAAACGTCATTAAGTTACTAATTTGCATTTCTTTCCTTGGACTATTATGTATGAGCGTCTTGTATCCTCGATCCTATCTTCACTAGTAAACATCGAAATCAACATCAATATAAAAAATGTTTTGCCAGCTACTGATGAAGTATATAAAAATGCTTGATAGTATTTCTCATTAGGCAGACTTTTGCATGAAATTGCTGCTTCGTCGTAACCTATACATGTCAACTCCCTTTCAACTCCCTGGAAAACTAACTTGTGGACTCAGCGACTGTTGTGTTGTAGCAGTCCACACCAACCAAAGACTATCATGCTTATTCTTAGCTAGTTATATCCTGGGAAAAATCCTCTTTGAATAATAGTGAATTGTGGGAAGTTTCAAGCTCGTCTAGACATTCTTTATAATTGTCTATAAAGGCTGTCAAAAACTGTCTAGCCAAAATACTCCCCTGGCCACACAGTCCTCTCATGGGATCTTTACATATTACATGAATTTTTGAGAGGTTCCAATTGCACGAGTCTGGGACTGCTTCAGTTTTCACAAATTATTTTTACCTAATAAATTATTTTTTTATTTACTCATATATATATATGTATGTATGCTTTAATATAAATAACATGATTTAAAAATTATGAAGACTTATTTCATTTAAGCACTGATAGAAACAAATAAGAATATTTGGGTTCTTTGTGATTTATAGATTAAATGCTAACGTTATAACAAGATTTTGGTATACAATTACACTTTTACAGATTAAGGATAACAATTCCGTTTCATTCCTGAGAGACGGGAAGTTTTAAGGGGATGATTGATGATGGGGCACGCTAGTGACATTAGCTGGCGGGCCCCTCCGCGCACCGCTTGCCTAGCCTTCAGAGGGCTGCCACAACAATACTAAAAGGAACACTTGCTGGCCGTTGAGCTGCAGGCAGTGTTGACGGGGCTGGGCGGAGGGGCCCTGCACAGCTTCAAGGGAAAACACTCCTGCACCACACAGACGAACACTTACACTATCTTGAACTTGGAACACTTATGGCCGCGCGAAACACTGACCACTCTCACACGTATACTCCAATGGACCTGCTGGCACTCTCCCCGTTGAAGATTATTTTAGAAATTTGTCAGGCTTTGTTCTATTGCCGGATACACACCGTAACACTTGAGGAGGCTTGTTGTTCGGCCGAGCGGAGGAAGGTTAGCCTGGTCGGAGATCGGACTGGGCAGCGGGGCGACTGCTCTCCAAGAGCCCAGCTGGCCTGCACACACGTAAATGGCGGCCCACCAGCCTTCGCTACCAGATACCTGCAGCCCGCCGGCCCCCGCCATGCTCGCCGCCATACTCACCATGATCACTTATTTCATAACCTCTTGAAGTTTTTACGTACCCGCCAATATGTGTCTCACCTAGTGAGGCCTTCATGGACTCCATTGCATTATGTTATTAGAAGAAAATACTCTGTAAACAATTGTGATAATGTGTAATAATTATGTTTTTGGCGTTGTTGCGTAGCTGGCTCCCACGTCCCCCCTTTCCCCACCAACCAAAATGGGAGCGGCCCAGGGGCTATTTTGGTGCCCGGCTCCCACCGCCACCGACACCAAGTATTTGTAAACACGCCATCACCTTATACCCACCCCCAAGGTGCCATCTCTATCCTGCCATGCTACGTTGCACGAAACCGGTGGTCACCTCCAGTGCAGACTGTCTGACCCCGAACTGACCTGTATGACCGTGTGGGTGGATGGCAGCTGAGAGGTACCTGGGTGAGTGGGTGAGGGATGAGAGGGGTGGCTGGTGGCTGGCTGGCTGACTGTCGGAGGCTACAACCACCGCCTCCACGACTCCACTGTGTCCCCAAACATTATCAGTAGAATATTATATACAGTATATGGTGTGACTTATGGCCACAAGCAGAGAGTATTCACTAAATTGACAATATAATCTAAAAACAAATTTAGACACCCATATTCCACCAGGATCAAATCATTATTAAGGATCTTAAGGAAAACATCTAGAAGATACTTAGTGGAGGAACCCACTGTAAATAAGTTACATATTGACATGTTTTTGGCTCTGCTGAATCTACATAACTTAGCAAAAGCCTTTGGCACATGTGACCATTAGTCATTACGCAAAAGAAGCGCGCAAAAGGAATAACTGGAAAGGTGGGCAGATAGAACTCAAAGAGTAATAGTAAATACAGTGTAAAATCAGAGGCAGCTACAGTGAAGAGTACTGTTTCCCAGAGCACAGTATCACACCATTTCTCTTTCTCGTTCTCTCAGCTGACATAGAAGGGGTCATAAACCATAGCATAGACGATACTAAAATCTGCATGGAAGTGACATTCATAGAAGACGCAGTGAGTCTTTAAGGTAATCACTAATTAATCTTCCAGCGAGCTACTGAAAAACTGCAATGTTTAACGAGAGAAAACTTCAGTTATTACATTACGGAAGGATTGAAAAAGCAAAAACAAGATCAGAGTATAAGGCAAACTCCAATCATTCAACAGAAGCAAGTCTAATATGAGAAACCTGGGAGTGATAATGTCAGATCTCTCGTTCAAGGAGTACTACATTATCATTATCACAACTGCAAGAAATGTTATAGGTTCGGATAACTATACCATTCAAAACAGATGCCAAGCCAGTGATGACAATCTTAAAGTCACTAGTTCTCTTTAGGCTGGAATATTGCTGTGTATTAATGTACAGAGAACCTTCACAACTTGTATAAACTCAGTCAAGCTCCTAAATTCTGGGAGCGCCTGAAGCCCCTCAAACGTAAGCAAGAAAGATGCATAATAATCTATACTTGGAAGATTCTGGTCCCAACTCTACGCATCGAAATCAGTACATATGAACACAAGAGGTTTGGCAGACGGTGCAAGTTACTTTTTATGAAAAGCACAGGAGCGATGAATTAACTTGGAGAAAACTCAGTGTGAAGGGGCCACGACTCTACAACACGCTCCGTTCATTCTTAACGGGGATTACCAACAAACCTACCCCTCCCCCCCGACTGTCTTCAAGAGAGAAAGCTGACAAATTCCTCATAACAGTTAGTGATCATCCAGGCTTTGTTCATACGATGGACTGCGTGCTGCGGGTAGCAACAGCTTGATTGATCAGGCCAGCAACAATAAGGCCTAGTCTGGATCCGGGACGCGGGGGCGTAGCTTCAAAAGTCCCAAAACGATGCCGAAAATGCGACGACGGCGGAGAACGAAAATCAAATGTGTAGGAGCAGATTTGACGATATAATGTGTAACATATCAAGGAATTTTTATGCCTGTTTAACCATGTTATATAAATTTCAGTTTACCTCTTCTGAAAGGCTTCAATATTTAATGGCTGCTGCAACTTAAGGCCTGGAAAGTAACTATTAAGTTTCGTTTGCGTCCGGGGAAATTTGTTGTAGTAAAATAGCAAAAAAAAAAAAAAATATTTGTAATTCTCGCCATAACAAAAGAATGACTCGTCCGATCAGCTTCAAATTTTCACCACGTTGCCATTAGGTGGCATTAATCCAGATTTCCCAAGTTTATTGAATAAATAGTAATATTCATTTTTTTATTAACTAACGAATGCTTCTTCTGATTCGTTTCAAAATATTATTGGCGATGTGCAAATCTGAAATTTTACTGAAATACACAAAAAACTTGGAATTGTTGGAATCGAGTCAATTTCTGAAGAATATCTTTCCTGAATACCTTCAAATATTTACCATTCGTGAGCTTTATTAAAGCACTTTGAGTTGTATAAATTTCGGATTTCAATAACTAGTGAATGCCTCTTCTGATCAGCTTCAAACTCAAAATGAAGATGTATCTTAAATCGAAGAATATTTTCATTTATTTTGACCTGTGTTTATGCTAGTTTGACTTATTATTATTATTATCAGTTTTACATCCTCGTTTAGAAAAGTAAAGAAAAAATATTTTTTATCTTACAGGATTGCAGAAAATTTTAAATAGAATGTAAATGTGAAAGGTGAACTGGAAAAATAATTTCGCTGATTTATGATGATGAGAGAATTCGATTTTAGTTTGTTATTACGAATTATTTATTGTTAGTTCATGAGTGAGAGAATTCAATTTAAGTGTTGTTAAGTTCATCGAGGAGAGAATTCGATTTATGGTTGTTAAGTTCAACTGAGGAGAGAATTCAATTTACGTGGTTGTTAAGTTCATCGAGGAGAGAATTCGATTTATGGTGTTGTTAAGTTCAACGAGGAGAGAATTCGATTTATAGTGTTGTTAAGTTCAACGAGGAGAGAATTCGATTTATGGTGTTAAGTTCAATGAGGAGAGAATTCAATTTACGTTGTTGTTAAGTTCATCGAGGAGAGAATTCGATTTATGGTGCTGTTAAGTTCAACGAGGAGAGAATTCGATTTAACATTGTTAAGTTCAACGAAAGAGATTACGGTTGAAGTTTAGTTCACGGGAGAGACTTTTCTATTTTTCTTCAACATCTGCTTTATCCTATCACAATTTTTGGTGTATTTACTCGTGAAAAGTCTTATTCGATCGGCTTTTAAAGTTTCAGTGTATATTTGACGCTGGATGGCCTACTCACATGCTAGTAGCCATCCCTTTTATGTACTTGTTTTACCGGAAGAGGCTCTGTGACCGATATACAACTTTACCTAGAAATGGAATAAATTATCATTCGTTATCGTACTACCCTGCATGGACCACTTACGATATTAGTTTTATTCGAAAGGTATGTTCAGGTGCCATTATGAACGAATTTGTTCCCATAAGGAAGAATATTGTGAATTTAGTTATCCATTCAGACCCAAACATCCACGTACAACGCACTTACATAAAACATTACATAATTGGCGCATTAGAAGCTGATCGTAAAGCGGGGGTCTGCTAGTAAGGGATCTTTTATCCGAGGAATTGGGTTCACCTTTGCCTTTTTGGAATAGAATTTGAATTCCTCCTGTCCCTCATTAGCTATGTCACTCCTAGGGGTTTATGGTTTTCCTCTGATTAAAAATATAAAAACTGTGAACGCATTAATATTCAATGGTTGATGCATCTTATTAAATGGATGGATCTTTTCATGAGTTTAGGATGTGCAGGCACGAATTTTGTTGGATTCTGGGCAATAACTGAAAAATGCATCTTGTAGTCAGTTTTAAACTTCTAGTGTTGATGTTTTTTAAACTTCTAGTGTTGATATGTTTTAAACTTCTATTGTTGATGTGTTTTAAACTTCTAGTGTTGATGTGTCTTCTAGTGTTGATGTGTTTTAAACTTCTAGTGTTGATGTATTTTAAACTTCTAGTGTTGATGTGTCTTCTAGTGTTGATGTGTTTTAAACTTCTAGTGTTGATGTATTTTAAACTTCTAGTGTTGATGTGTCTTCTAGTGTTGATGTGTTTTAAACTTCTAATGTTGATGTATTTTAAACTTCTAGTGTTGATGTGTCTTCTAGTGTTGATGTGTTTTAAACTTCTAGTGTTGATGTGTTTTAAACTTCTAGTGTTGATGTATTTTAAACTTCTAGTGTTGATGTGTCTTCTAGTGTTGATGTGTTTTAAACTTCTAGTGTTGATGTATTTTAAACTTCTAGTGTTGATGTGTCTTCTAGTGTTGATGTGTTTTAAACTTCTAGTGTTGATGTATTTTAAACTTCTAGTGTTGATGTGTCTTCTAGTGTTGATGTGTTTTAAACTTCTAGTGTTGATGTATTTTAAACTTCTAGTGTTGATGTGTCTTCTAGTGTTGATGTGTTTTAAACTTCTAGTGTTGATGTATTTTAAACTTCTAGTGTTGATGTGTCTTCTAGTGTTGATGTGTTTTAAACTTCTAGTGTTGATGTTTTTTAAACTTCTAGTGTTGATGTGTCTTCTAGTGTTGATGTGTTTTAAACTTCTAGTGTTGATGTGTTTTAAACTTCTAGTGTTGATGTGTTTTAAACTTCTAGTGTTGATGTGTCTTCTAGTGTTGATGTGTTTTAAACTTCTAGTGTTGATGTATTTTAAACTTCTAGTGTTGATGTGTCTTCTAGTGTTGATGTATTTTAAACTTCTATTGTTGATGTGTTTTAAACTTCTAGTGTTGATGTGTCTTCTAGTGTTGATGTGTTTTAAACTTCTAGTGTTGATGTATTTTAAACTTCTAGTGTTGATGTGTCTTCTAGTGTTGATGTGTTTTAAACTTCTAGTGTTGATGTTTTTTAAACTTCTAGTGTTGATGTTTTTTAAACTTCTAGTGTTGATGTTTTTTAAACTTCTAGTGTTGATGTATTTTAAACTTCTAGTGTTGATGTGTCTTCT